TTACCAAATCACTGGTCACATCTCTGGTTCATAAAGCTTTAAGAGTGAGTACATTTATTTAAAGGACAATGGAAAAAGAAATGAACCCATGGGGATAAGAATGTTGAGCATTGCACAACCAAACTCCAAAGTCCCATATAAATCACAGTATGCAAAAAGCTAGAGCTCTCATTGTAATTCATCTATAGTACATGCCTCCTACAAAAGCCCCCATGGTTTTTCTTACGGCTATGACCCATCATCACTCGTGTCCTTTTCCCTGAAGTTATTCTCAACTTTGAGTTAATGGTGCCAGTCATCTTTGTTTATGGCTCTCAGGGGCCAAAGTCTATCTCAATTCTTTGTTTAGGGATTCTGTTGTACTAATACATTGCATTCTGTCAGTATTGACTCAGCCTCCATGAAGGGGTATTTTTCTCTCAGAGATGTACGGATATTTCTGGAGTTCATTTTTGGGGGCCAAGGACCCTGGGACTTCCCTCCCACATGCTATGTAAAGATTTGATACAATGCCAGCAAAGTATCATTCATGTTTTCCATTTCTCCCAAAGAATCAGACTTCCATCACTTTCTCACTTTATGAGAGCAAGCTCAGCTTTAAGAAGTATTCCATTTTGCCCCTCGTTGGGTTTTGGATCCTCCCCAAGAACAATACAGTTCCCTCATTTATTTTCCCAATCTTCCTGCAGCCTCTTACTATAATGCCAAATCAGGACCAAGAGAAAACCATCAACATCCCATTATGCCTGCAATATCTGCAGTGAGAAAATAGGTGAGAGAAGTGTGCCATAGTCTCCTATTTGAAGATTCCACCATACTTAGAACTGGAAGGAAGATTATCCTTTCAGTTGAATACCTAGTTAAATATCTAACACCATGAGTGTTTGGGAAGAAGTGTAAGGTTAATAGGGACTCATAAGCTATGGATTTTTTGTGGATGTAGAACCATTCTGCAAGGTGCAAGGAGAATGCCTAAAGCCCTTCAATTACTTTCTGGGTTTGAAGCCTGGGGCCAGAGAGATCCATCCACCCATCTGTCTATCTATCTATCTATCTGTCTGTCTATCTGGCTATTTGGCTATCTATCTAACTAAAGAGGAACAGAGATACTCTGGGTAAAAAGTGCATTTTTGTGCCGGAAACCTACACCAAGTATTCTTCTTTGTGTTGAATATCAGAGTGCTGGTCCCCTGAAGAAGGAAATCATTGGCAGATAATGGAAACTGAGGAGTATGGAAAAGCCACAGAATAAGAAAAGTCAGAGAGGGAGCAGTGATGAATGACCACCATTGGTGGGAAGTTGAATTGAGGTATAGGTAGCGGAGTTGTGGAGGGCAAAGACAGAGCATGGAGAACAGCATCCTGTGACAATTGCTAAGGAAAGCTGTACATTACAGCTTCCAGAAAAAACAACAACTACCAAAAATAAAAAAAACAAAAATAAAAACAAAAAAAGCCCAAGCAAGCTAGAAAAGGCTAATAGATTTAATATTAGAAGGTCATTGTGTGTGTATGTGATTTTTACTTTTTTGGAGGGGAAGCCACCTCCTTCTCCTTTGTTTCACCAAAGAAAGAAGTTAATATGCATTGTTTGTTCTACCCACCTCACCCCAGTCTTATCAATTCTCTTGTGGGATATTTGTTCAGAATAAAATAAAAATCAGCTTAACCTCATCTGGAGACAGAACTTGTTATAAAAGGATGGACAGCAAATAATCAGGGTATTTAAAGAGCCAACAATTACTAATAGCAGCAGGCCAGTTCTCCAGCCATCAGTTAGGCAGTAGATGAGGAAGTGGAAGGAGAATGGATGTAATTCTAAAAGTCCCAAAGAGCAGTAAGGCTGGAAGAGACAGGCAAACAGGAAATTTTATCCAGGCAGATCACTCCTTAAGAGGATCAATGAGTCAAACAAGGTTTTAACTGTTCAAGATCATGTTCATTTTGGAGTAGCAGCATTCTTCACTTGTAATCACTTAATAACTACTAGCACATGAGCCCACATTCTGAGTTCCTTTCTTCTCCATGGAACTTAAAAGTTCACAGGGTTCCCCCTTATTCCTTCTCTCCCCATGTTGTGTGGCTCCTGACTCTCATTCTCCTTCATTCCTTCCTTCCATCTCATGAAAAAACAAACAAACAAACAAACTCAAAACTAAATCTTAGACTTCTCATTGGTTCCTGTGCTGATAAAGGCTATATTCATATCTTCAGAGAGATTTCAGTTGCATGGTGAGGTCAGAAGCTAGATATTAAGAACGTGAGGTGAAGAAATAGAGTCAATAAGGGGTAAAGTACACTTTTTTGTACTTTGTAAAAGGGATAAAAGATACCATAATAGTTTGGGGGAATGGTGGAATCAATTGAAGATTTTCTTTTTTTGAGGATGAAGAAGACCTGGACATGTTTGTAAGTATAGGAAGGAAGCAGTGGATAAAGAGAGATGAAAGATAAGAAAGAATGATAGACGTGGAAAGTTTTCAGAGTAAACAAGAGGGCATTAGATTGAGACTACAGGAGAAGGGTTAACTTTGCTAAGGAGAAGACACATTTCTCCATCTGAGGCTGGAGCAAAGTAACAAAGAATGGAGGGGGCGACATATACACTACTGGAGGTGGAACTCTGAATGAGGGCAACTACTCTGGAAAAAAAAATAAGAATTATACTAGAAAACTGTAGAAAATCAACAAAGAAACTTATTGAGATAATAACTTTAGTAATTTAACAGGATTTTGTAGATCTACAAAACGCATTAGCATTTCAATATAGCAATAAAAAGAGAGAAAAATGACAAAAAGAGAAAGCTCATTTAAAATAACTTCATAAAGCACAAATTATTTGGGAGTCAATCTATTGAGACACTCTCAATACAATAAGACTATACACACTTTTTATAGAAATAAAGGAAGATTAATATAATTACACAGATATACATATATTATATATTTGCATATGTATACATTTATGTGTATATGTATATACATATATGCACACAAGGAAAGGAGGTTAATGGAACTGACTAGATAACCAAGAATCTGAAACAATTGAATTCAATTGTCCACAATGCAATAAGTTCAAGAACATGAACAGTTTTTGGGGAAACTCTGACAATAGCAGCTGAAAAAACCAGAAAGCAGTTTAGCTTAAAAAAAGTTTTAGGGCAGCTAGTTGGGGCAGTGGATAGAGCCCTGGCCTTGAAGTTAGGAGGACCTGAGTTCAAATTTGACCTTAGACACTTGACACTTACTATCTGTGTGACCCTGGGCAAGTCACTTAACCCCAATTGCCTCACCAAAAAAAAAAAAGTTTTAAATGTACACTTGACCTCAATATGAAATATCATTTAAAAAAATGAATGAAAATGGGAGGAAGTATCTATAACACTTATGAGTAGGGAGAAGACAGGAGGGATAAAATAAATAAAACAAATGATTTTTATTTCATGATACTGAAAAGCATTTAAACAAACAAAATCAATGCAATTAGAATGAGAAGAGAAACTGTCAAACCGGAAAGAATCTTTGCATCAAATATTTCTGATAAGGTTTTGATATCCAAGATACATAAGACATTAATACAAATATGAGAAATCAAAGGCTATAAATAGTCAAAGGAAAAAAGCATAACTTTCAAAAGAATTACAATCTGCTAACCACAAAAATGAAAGATTACTTCAAATCACTTATAATTCAAACAAAACCATTCTGAGGTCACTTCATTCCCCCACAAATCGGCAAAGGTGACAAAGGATGGAAATAGTCAATGTTGGAGGTGATGTGGAAACACTAGCACACTGATATGATCCTGGTTGTTCCATTCATTCTGGAGATTAACTTAGAATTATGCTAAAAAAAAAAAAAGACTAAGTTACCCATCCTCTTTCATGCAGAAATCTCACTGTTAGGCATATGGCCCAGGGAGGTCAGGAAAGAAAAGTCCCATGTATACTAAAATATCCATATTAACACTTTTTTTGTGCCAGTGAACAACTAGGAACTGCTTCAACTGGGACCCCATAAATGGGGAAATAGCTAAACAAGTTGTTGTAAGTGAATGTAACAAAATAATATTTCACCAGAAGAAACAATGACTATGAGGAATTCAGAGAAACATAAGAATAGTTGCCTGAACTGATGCAGAGTGAAGGAAATAGAAACAAGAAAATTTTATATATATATAATGACTTTATATTTATTATTATATAATAAATTATATAATATATAGCAATTATATATATTTATATATGTATATAAAATGACAACTACATAGAAAAATAATACCATGTAATTATTATATCCATGCTTGGCTCTTAAGAAGAAAGGAGGAAATCACTCCTCTCCTTTCATTTGAGTGTTGAGGTATTATGGCTATAGAAAAATCAGAATGCTGGCAGAATTGGACAATATGTTACTTGACTTTTTTTTCCTTTTCTTTTTTTCCTTTGTGACAAAGAACAACTTGCTGTTTAGAGGAGAAGGGAGATAGTATATTCAGAAAAGTCTGTGATGTAAAAACAAAAGACATCAATATAATTTTAAAGAGAAGAAAAATAATTGAAAGAATACCTACAGTAATTGGTAGATTTTAGGATTCATAGAACACTTGAACTACTTGAGAAATGCTTCGTAGTAGAAAGAAAATTTAAACAAGTTCTCAAAGCTATGAAAGGAGAATGAGACTGGATATTGGCCCACTTCAGAGTTGTTGGAAAATGCATAAAGATGACTATTGATTAATGTAAAGCTCGAAATTCTCTCTCTCTCTCTCTCTCTCTCTCTTAAAGACCATAAAACTAAATAAACTTATGACTAAACATAAGACTATGCCTTTCTGTGGGAGGCAGCAGTCCCTAGGAGTGCCTCTGAACTGAGAAAAGGTCTCTGCTCTTCTGTACCCACTGAAGACCAACATTTCGACTTGGGATATCCTATTGCTTTTAAATTTAGTTGAAACTGCAACATCACAGACTTGGTCTGCCTAGGGGTGGGTGTAACCTCAGTGTCCCAGCTCCTCTCTTAACACATTCTAGAGAAAGAGCCCATGCTGAAGAGAAGCTACAAACCTCCCCTGACACCAGCATGAGCACCAGATTCCTCTATTATGTGACCTGCTATCTCCTGGGGACAGGTTGGACATAGACTTTGAGAATAACGGTCCTGCTTTTGCTGGAGCCTAGCTCCAAGCTTTTTTATGTGTTTTTAATACCAGACTAACTCTCAGGATTTGTGTACTAGTTTCTTTTTTATCTTTTCCCATAGTCCCCTTGGATGCTGGAGTCACCCAGACCCCGTTACATCTAATCACAAGGACTGGACATAATACGAGTCTGAGATGCAAGCAGAATTTGGGTCACAATACTCTGTACTGGTATCGACAGGACTCCAAGATGGGACTTCGGGTACTGTTTTCCTTCAATAATAAAAACCTTATTGATAATACTACTATTTCTAATCGCTTCAAGCCAAACTCTACAGACAATTCTCTCTTGTATCTTGATATTGAATCCTTACAACCAGAGGACACAGCCACATATCTCTGTGCCAGCTCTGTAGGCACAGCATTATAAAGCCACTTGCTCTCTGTGCACAAACCTCCCCAGTCCCCAGCACAGGAAGTAGAGGAGGAAAGATGGGACATGAAATGGTGGTCTAGGAGATGAGGAGAGCACCAACTTAGGTCTGGCCTCATTTCCTGGAAGAACGTTAGTGGAGCTGGGTATGAGTGGCCATCTTCTTAATCTCTAGAACTCAATGTTGTCAACTTGCCCAGTGGTGGTCAGGTTCTGGGAAAAGTAGTTACACTACCCAAACTCAAAAAGGACTGACTAGTAAGCTAGAAAATGACTTTATTCACTTAGAATGAGAAATAGAACTACTGAGATGAGATGAATACTTTTTTGACTCTCACCTTAATTTCCTAGGAAGGAAGCCTATTCAGAAAATCCCATTAGTAATTTAAAGTTGTTTGGTAAAAAATGTAACAAACAGAACTACGTGACAGCAATGAATTATATTTTCCCAATTGTACTAATCCAAGACGTTGTTCTCCATCAGATATATACCTGTTGAGACTAGATTTGGCTGGTTAGAGTACCACCCCCACCTCAACACAAAACTAGGCACAAGAATGCCTGCATCAAACTAAAAGGAATTCAAAGATAGTGTGGGGATAATGGCAGATTTAGGGCTTATGAGGGATGTGTAATCATTGAGTAGGGCTTCCCAGAGAAAGGAGAATTTGAGTAAGATTTTAAAAGTAAAGGGGGAAAAGAAGAACTAATATTGTCCTCATTAAAGATCCTAAAAAATGCCCAAATAGATGATTGCTCCAAGCAATACACACACACACACACACACACACACACACATACACACACACCACCCCACCCCTCACCACACCACCCAAATATATTGTGATATTTCTTTTTAAAAAATCCTTTATTTTTAAAAATTTAATTTAATTTTTAATTAATAACATTGTATTTCCTCTCCTTCTTATTTCCCTATAACCTCCACAAACTTTTTTGGGAAAAAAATGTAAGAAATATGAATAGTCAAACAAAACAAATTCCCATATTGGCCATGTCCAACAAATAAATGTCTTGGTCTGTACCCTGAGTTCATCACCTTTCTGTCACAAGCAGGTAGCATGCTTCATCATGAGTCCTCCGGAATCATGGTTGGTTAATATGTTGATAAGAGTTCTTAAAAAACCATCCTTTTCTGAGGGAGACAAAAGTCTCTGGGTGTGTCCGTGGCCTAGGAAAAGGTTTTGTTCCTTTGCCCTCAGTATAGGTCAATACTTTTGCATAAGGGACTCTACTGTTTTTAGAGATGGTCAAGACTATCACATCACTGACTTACCCCACCTTACTCCTCAAATCTGGTGTTTTCATTCTTATCTTTGGAGGCTCAGGAATTCAATTTTTCAACCAACTTATGCATAATTTGGTTCTGGGGAAAGTAGTCATACTAATCAAACTTACAAGATATTGTTTTATAAACCAGAAAGTGAATAAATACATTTTATTTATTATTACTGTGAAATATAACTTCTAAAGTGAAATACATACTCTTGTTGGCTGGCTGTCAGTAGTCAGTCAATAAGTATTTGTTAATTGTTTACAATGAATTGATACTAAGCATTGTCAACATAATCTCCTACCATGAAGAAAGGCTTATCAGAAAACCAAATTAGTAGTGAAATGCTTCTTGATGAATATAGATCAGAACAAAACCAGCTTCAGGAAGATGAGAGGTATGTTTCTCCAGTGGTACTAGGCCAATGCATTCTTCTTCACCAGAACTAAACTTGTTGAAGAGACTGGAATATTTGGGTTGGCTGGTCAGAGTGGTCTCCTCCCAGGGCAGTGCTGGGTCTACAAAGACCAAAAATAATTAGAAAATTACATGGGGAAAATGCTAGAATTAAGGTTCATGAGGGGTATATGATCATCAAGAAAGGTTTCTCAAGCAAATAGAAGTATGAATAGTCAAACAAAACAAATTCCCACATTGGCCATGTCCAACAAGTAAATGCCTCAATCTGTACCCTGAGCCTATCACCTCTCTGTCAGGAGGTGGGTAGCATGCTTCATCATGAGTCCTCTGGAATTATGGTTGGTTTATAAGGTGATAAGAGCTCTTAAAAAGACCATCCTTTCCTGAGGGAGACAAAAGTCTCTGGGTGTGTCTGTAGCCTAGGAAAGATTTCATTCCTCTACTCTCAGTATAGGCCATGGGTGACCCTACCGTTTTTGGTGATGGCCAAGACTTCGCTATCACTGACTTCCTCCATCTAGGGGTGGGTGCAACCTCAGTGTTAAAGGTAAGAGGAGAGAGATATGGCTAATTTGTGGCCCAATTCTGAGGTGATGGACAATGCACGAGCAGATGACTGCTCCATGCATAGCGCTGGAAAACAAATACAAATATGACTGTCTGAACACAAAGATTATGTCTTTCTGAGTGTAGCTCTGGCCTGGGAAAACATCTCTGTTCCCCTGCACAGTGCAGACCAGCCTCTCAACTAAGAAGACCCTGGTATTTTTGGAGCTATTCAATTGTGACATCATAGATTTACTCCCCCTAGGGATGGGCACAACCTCAGAGTCCTTGGTTCCTACCCTGTTCTAGAACCTGGAGTCCTGTGTTCAGGAGAGAGCACTAGATTCCTCTACTGTGTGACCTTTTGTCTCCTGGGGGAAGGTGAGGCTGGTTGGGCAATGAGGATGACACAATCCTGCTCTCTCTGGGCTTAGTTCCTAGTTTTCCCATTGTGCTTTTAATCTCAGACTAATTCTCAGGATCTGTATCCTACCTTTTTTATTTTCTTCTCCCATAATTCCCTTGGATGCTGGAGTCGCCCAGACCCCGTGGCACAAGATCACAAGGACTGGACAAACCTGAGAAGTGAGCAGGATATGGGCCATGACACTGGGCTGGTATCAATAGGACTCCGGGATGGGACGTCAGATGATGGTTTTGTTCAATAATAAAGTACTTATTGTGAATGCTACCATTGCCAATCACTTCAGATCAAAGTCTCCAGAAAATTCTCACTTGTATCTTTACACCGAGTCCCTCCAAATGGAGGATACAGCCACATATCTGTGCACCAGCAGCTTGGCCATGCACAGTACTGTAACATCACATGCTTTCTGGAAACAAACTTCCCTAGACTCCAGCATAGGAAGCGAATGTAGGTGAGATGAGAAACAAAATGTTAATCAAAGAAGCAACAGCTCCTCAGGCTAGGCTTCACATGCTGAAAATGTCCAAGCTGGGTTACATAAGATAGTATTTTCATCTTCACTTTGCAGGTTCAGAAATTCAACTTTACCAGACTATTCTGGTTACCAAAGAAAGTAGTCACACTAACCAAAACTTAAAAGGGACTGATTTTTAAACAAGAAAGAGTCTTTATTAACTGATAATTAGCAACTTAATCCCTGAAATAAGATGAAGTCTCTTTTTTACTCCAAATGTTTACTCCAAAATCTCTTCCCAAGAAACAGGTCTATCAGAAAACCAAATTAGTAATGAAAAGGTTAGAAGAGATTAAAACAAAGAATGCTGCATGACCATGAAGGCTTTTTGGTTCTAAATGTACTCAAGCAAGACTTTCTTCTCCACTAGAAACACAGCTGTTGAGATAACTGCTGTACTAATTTTCTGATTGGAGTACTTACCATTTGACAAAGACCATGTTTATTTTTTTCTGGTTTTGGTAGTTGTCAGTCATTTCCATAGCCATCAGATTGTGAACTCCTTGAGGGCAGGGACTGTCTTTTGCCTGTTTTTGTGTATCCACTGCTTAGCCCAGATCTTAGCACATAGTAGGTGCTCAATAAATGTTTATTGACTGACTGTGCGCAATGAACATGACAGTACTATAAGCTCACACACGTAGAGCTAGAAGGAAGGAACTGCTAAATATTGGGAGGGATGGAGAATGAGAATTGGTTTTTGTGTGCCAGTCACTGCTCTGGCTAGAGTAGCCAACATAAATACTCTAATCAATTTAATAAATCCATCCCTGCTGAAGATGAATGTCTTGAATTAGAATAGATTGGAGAAAAATATCTCTCATGGTTATATCATTTTCCTAGTTCTGATCTATTGCTTCTGAGAAACTTTTTACTACTAATTTGGTTTTTTGAGTTAGCTTTCTTAGAGATCATATAATATGAGAGAGAGAGAGAGAGAGAGAGAGAGAGAGAGAGAGAGAGAGAGAGAGAGAGAGAGAGACTTAAGATTTTGGGGGAAATTTTAGCTCAAAAATATGCAAAATTATCTAAAGCAAATTCTATATATTGGGATATAATTATTAATAATAATCCTTAAATACACAGACATATGACTGTTCCTAGAAAGAGAATAGAAATAGATTCCATAAAGAAAAGACAAAGAAGAGAATAGGTTATTATAGCTGCTGCTCCTCTATCCACCAGACTATGTGTGCAGGGAGGTATATGGATCGATCATTTTTGGTGTCTGTTTCATCACCTTTGGGGGAGGAGAGTTAGTAGGGAGCATTACTATGATCTTTTTTTTTTTATCATTTTTGCAATCACAGCTTTGAAATTGTCCAAAAGCAATCCCAGAGTGCCGTTAAAACTGTGTTAATTATACATAGCACGGATTTCTTCTGTACTTCATTAGGTAGAGTTTCTCTTCCTGACTTCATCTTCTTAAGTGTAACTGACATTACCTCACAATGCATGTTAATTAGATTCTAAGGAGCTCAAGTATAAGTGTGGCAGTTACACTGTCATGGCTGATTCAACGAGACAAATTTAAATACTGGTAGATCTGTCTGATTTTGTGTGTTGGTTGTGCACTTCTGCTAGCCAGAGAGGGCTTAAGGAAGCATTAACAACACAGGAGGAAATGGAGACTTTGACCTTGTGTCCTCCTTTCTTCAACATAGTAAAAGTCTGTTTACCCCCTTTTAGACTATTTATAACAAAACTGAGCACAGAGGGGCATGGAAGAAAAGGATGGGAAACAACGACATCCTTGAAAGTTGAAATCCAAAAAACTGTTTGGGCATGAGACAAGGAAATGAAATAAATAGAAAAAGAAGAGAGGGGTAAGTAAGGACCATTTGGAAATATACAAGTCCTATTCCCATCTTCTTAAGATAGTTTCCAGTGAAAACCTAAGTGAACTGGCACAGGATAGGATCTTTCTATGCAAAGAAATATCTTAATGAGGGATTTATCTGTTATCTATCTGTATCTATAAACTATCTCTATCTTTTTATATCTATACCTATGTCATCTATATTGTTATCCATACCTATGTCATTGTTGTAAGTAAATACACCTTTACCTTGATATAGATATAGATATACCAGAGGCATCTCCGGCTTCCTTCCCTATTTCTCTTTTTTGGTCACTTTGGAAATCTCTGTATCTCATCTCTCTCTGCCTCTTTGTGTGTCTCTCTCTCCCTCTTTAAAAAAAAAAAATTACGTACCTCCTTCTTCCTTGCTCCTCAATCTATTTGAATTACTTTTGTCTCCATTTCTATTTTCTCAATGTTTCACTGGCTATAGTTCAAGGTCATTATCTTTGGAAAATAAATAAAATAAATTAATAAATAAAATAAAACATCCCTATCCCCTAGTAAAGCAAAACAAAAACCAAAAGCCAACAATAATGACAAAAACCCAGTAAACATCAAGACGTATAGCACATATATTTTATACATGTATGTTTGCGTGTGCATGTGTGTGCGGGTACATGTGTGTGTGTGTGTGTGTGTGTGTGTTCATTTGAGATAGCAAGAATGCTTTGGATAATGTAGTAAAGTAACGCTTTCACTTTTAGCCTGTTATACAATCCAAATTCAAGAATCGCTTGGCCACTAAGAAACTCAGTTTCGGGGCTTGGAAGGGGAGTTTCCTTCCTGTTCATGTGAGGTGTTCTTGTCCTATTTAAGAAAATAACCCTTGGGCTAGGAGTCTTTGGAGAGAGTTAGAGCACAGATTAAAGCATCTTAAAAAGGGAGAGGGAAGATTTTAAGACAACAAACACAGTTTATCAACAGGTGGTAAAGGGTTAGGAGTTGCTCAGCCCTATTACGTGTGACTCCACATGCTGTGACCCCATCATGAATACCCGGTTCTTTTGCCATGTGGCCTTTATTCTTTGGAGAGCGGGTAAATTCTGGGTACAGATGGGAAATCCTCACTCTGAATTTGTTGAACCCTACCTGCAAACCTTTCTCTGTAATAGAAGTCTCTCCTGATTTCAGCCTCTCTCATTCTATTTCTCTCCCCACAGGTCTACTGGATGCTGGAATTACCCAGACCCCAAGATACCTGGTCACATGGAAAGGAGATAATGTGACGTTTAGATGTGACCCTATCAAAGGACACACTTGGGTTTATTGGTATCAACAGCTTTTAGATAAAGAGATTACATTCTTGATTTCTTTCCAGAGCAGCACTCCCATGAATGACTTGGGGATGCACAAGCTTCGATTCTCAGCTAAATGTTCCCAAAACTCACCCTGTGAGCTGTCAATCCAAATCTCAGAGCCTGGGGACTCAGGCATTTATTTCTGTGCCAGCAGTGAAACCACAGTGCTGTGAAGCCTTCTCCTTTCTGTGCATAAACCTCCAGTGATCCCATACAGGAAACAGCAGTTTTTAACATGGAGTCCATGAACTTGGTTTTTTGTTTCAAAATATATTTTGTCAACTGTATTTCAGCATAATCAGATTTCCTTTGTAATCCTATATATTTTATTTTATGCATTTAAAAGCATTATTCTGAGAATGGACCCATAGGATTCACCAGACTGCCAAAGGGGTCCATCACACACACACACACACACACACACACACACACACACACACACACACAC